TTTGCACGCCACTGGTGTTAATTATCTTTAGTAGAATTATCACTTGTTGCAGTTTATATGTTGGCTGTTATTGTTTCACTAAAAGAGGCCACATTTTGAAATAAAAATGGAATTTCATAAAATGGCGATATTTCCATAGCAACGCAATTTATCAAAAAAATTCCAAAGATGTCTCGAGGTATCGGATCAACCATTCACCCTACATCTGAGAAAGAATTCTAGGGTCCCTCACATTTCCCAAATTATTGGTCAAAATTTTGAAATTTTTCCGGCTCTTAATTCACACTCTGTACAGAGAGAACGAATCGCAAAAATAAAAACCCGACGCCAATGACGCATAGCCCAAGGATGACGCTTTCTACCTTTGGTTGGAAATCCAAGATCGGCCAAGAAATGTTCGAGTTATAGCTTATCAAAATTAGTCAATTTTTTAGCTGTCCCACTTCATCTGGTAAGTAGTTTATATGCTTAGCTTAATGAGTGATTTCTTAGATTTTTGCTGGATTGAGGACTATAAATACAAAAATCTCTTATAGTTTACATGCATTGCGTGAAATATGTATTTCGCACACTATTTCGCGCACGGTGTCGTGGTAAAGTAGGAATATCGTCGTTTTTTGACATTTGTAGACATTTTTTTTTCTGTGACGGTAAAAAAACTTGACATTTCATCACTGTTGACAGGTTATAAAATGTTACTTTTCATAAATTACTTTCTTCCCGTACTTTTTTCCCACGGGAAAGTGTGCAAGTTCCGATAATTTATCCTTTATTCCACTCCGCGGTTACGTAATTTATAAACAACAACATGACAGCATATGTCAAGTCGTTATTGATAAATACGTACTAGACCCGAGTCCCATCTCTTCGGATATCGAATTAGAACAGTGAATTCGAGTTAATTATAACAGAGGTGGCTATGTCATTATTGACTAGTGGTTCATAAAATGACGAAAACTACCTTGGTAGTAATAACACACTTTACGCCTCGAAAAGGTGTAAATAATGGTAGGTTCTACAGCTAGTTGTGGAAAAAATTTAATATTTTTCCGTGTATAATTCACTGTGTTTTTCTGTGACAGGAAAAAGGAAGAATCAATATTGAGAAGATAATACATTATATTGAAATCATAAAATTATCGACGTGAAATTTGAATTTTTTAACAGGAATATAGGACTTGCGTTGCAGACATCTTTTTACAGGAATCTTCTTCATTCTTTTGAAATAATCAAATATCTGTCAGTTCAATTCTGTGATTAGAATTTAAAAATTTGCGCATCCAGTGGTTGTTTAGTAATTTACATAATCGCGAAGTGCAGTTGCAGTTCTTTCTCGGAGACGGTGTTATTGGCTTATTTTTCGGAACAAGCACAACATAAGCCATCAACAGTCTATATATGTATATACCCGGGGAAAAGTACCCACTTTTTTCCCGCGGGATTTATGAAAAGTGACATTTTATAACCTATCAACACAGATGAAATGACAAATTTTTTTTCGTCACAGAAAAATAACTAAAAAAATATAGAGTGTGTTCCGCTTTTCATGAATGTATCCTTATATCTCAGTTATTATTAATGCGATTCTCTTGGAATTATCTGGTGGTGATTGTATGTTAGGAAAATGGGGAATTTAGCATAGTGAACATTCTGATTTATCTTCGGATTTACCATTAGCCTGCGGTATTGAGGAGCAGGGAATTGAAAAAGGTTTTCTTGAAAAAAGGTTATAAGGGCTTATTTTAGATTAATATTCCTAGTAGATTCAGAATCCGCATCCCCAAAAACAGAAAAAAAATTTCAAAATCATTTTTTCTTCAAACAACCTCCATACCGTTTCGTTAAATTCACCCGACGTTTCGTTCTTGATGATTTTCTTTTTAAATTGAATTTTATCAATAATAATTTTTCATATGTTTGAAAATGAAGGTACTCTACTCTTGAGCAAAATCAATATTTTTTAACATAATATCTCGGTTTTGGGCTTCGCAGAACTTTCTATGAAGAATAACTTTTTTCCTAATATCAATACCTAATAAAAAAGTTCCTCAATTGTTGCCAACTTTTTCAGACATACTGTATATATAACTGAAATAACTTTTTGGTCAAAGTTACTTTTTAAAAAAGATTTATTTTACGTCATACAAGAGCAACTGAACAATTCAGATTCTAATTCTAGACTGAGGAAAAAAAGTGCGAGAATGAATTGAAATTTATTCAACAGATCTTCAACAACTTCTTGAGAGGACAATAGAGACGAGAGCTCAAAAGGCTCCAGTGGCTATTGCCCAATGGCAACAAGTTTTCTCCATGAAAGCTGAGACACACCCTGTATATTGAATCAATGAGGTGTATGGGTGTGGGTATGTGTGTGTGTGGGCATAAATGTACTCAAAACTTTTTTGTCATTCAAATTAGCGCGATTTTTTTACCGGGTGACAAGAAAATCGTTGGACTAGGCGTCGTTGTTTTCCATGTTAGACTTCTAACATTTGTATCGACAATAGTTCGTTATCTTACCTAAAACAATGATGGAAGTAATATGGTGTAATTACTGATGCGCTTTTGTTTCAGAAATTTTACTCGACCTCTCGAGAGCAGCGAGAGCAATGGTTCCGTTGATCTTCTAATAGATGGCGACATTGCACAATCATGACTTCTGTCAGTTTTGAAATTGTCGCTGATTTTTCGAATTCAGAGTTGTTTAATCCCACTGTTTCATATGTTCCGCGTACCTAAAATGGCACATGCCATTTTATTTCCACTCGTCACAGCAGCAATAGCAGCATCACCATCTAGCAGGAAAATGTAGAATCAACGCCTCGCTCGTTGTGACGTAGAGAAATCATAGTAGGCCGGTCGAGTGATTTTTCTGAAATTTTCAGTATGTAATAATGGCCGAATACGCGCACCATATCTTACTTTCATCATTCCTAAAACTAACTAAAAACAATTGACAATCACTTCCGGTTTCACCGGAAATATACCGAGGTCGAGAATTCCGAATGGAACCTTTTATAGGTATTTTTCGTGGTATTTTTACGTTATTCGAGAGAGCGTAAAATTAACTTTTTAGTGACACAATCACATAATTAGCTATTTGTTTTTGAAATGGCGGCTCAGGTGACAATTTTCTAAAATCAATATGACGACAAGCAACCTAATAAAATAGCAAATAAACGAAGCACTTTGATCAGGTTTTGGTGGAATATGCAGAAATTTTGATTCAACAACAATCAGGATTAATTTCATAATCATTTCAAATGACATTCTTTTTCTTTAATTTACTTCAAAATTTTAGATAGGAAATTGTACTTTATTCAATTCAACATCAGCATAAGTATAAATGCTTGACACTGCCACACTACGCCTATAGTCTATATTATATAGTTTTTTAATGTTCTCGAAAAAAAATATTTTTTATGTAGACGTATAGTTTCATAGTATAATGAAAAACACAACCGCCTATTATTTATTTTCTATGATTTATCGGAAGATATACTGACGTATGCTTCCATTTTGATTTAAAAAAGTACCAGCATCAAATATTTTCGTGAAAATTCAAGAGAAATAATAATAACTTGAATGGAATCGATTCCTGATTGACGATGAATGAAAAATTTCGCATACTTACCTATTTCATTAAAACCTAATGAAAGTGCTGTGTTCATTATTTCTTACTATTTTATTAGGTTGCTTGACGAAAATTCCATCGATGACGCTACAGTGTCGCAATATTGATTTTAGAAAAAATGTCTTCTGCGCCGCCATTTTAAAAACAAATGTCCACTTGTGATATGTCATTAAGGTGGAAATTTTTGACTTTATCGAATGCCGTAAATAGTTATTTTCCTAACAAGTGCGCAAAGTGTTACTTTTCCGCACGCGGAGCGGAGTTCGAATAATTTTTTGCGTGCGGAAAAGACACTTTGCGCACGTGTTAGGAACAAAGTTTTTCCTACGAGCTTCATATCAGATAATAAGGAAAGTAAAAAAAAATATAACTCATTGAAAAATGTAACTATACAACAATCACATATAACAATAAAAAATAATAATAGAAAATCACATTTTCCCTACGAGCTTCATATCAGCTAACAACGAAAATAAAAAAAAATCAAATTAAATTACAATTCATTGAATAATTATTAGTTAAACTTGATAGAAATAGCTGAACAACAAACAATTACATATCAATAAAATAACATCATAGAAATTCAAATCATTTGTTCCTAATATTTATATTGAGGTAAAATACAAATATCGGGAAAAACGGTTGAAAAGTAAAGGGGATAACGGCTTCTTATAGTGCATAAAATAGTCTACATGGTCTACAGCAACTAAAATGGATATAAATGTTCCATACCAGTGAAATTTTTGGGTAGTTTTACTTATCCGCACGCCGTTCGGATAACACCCATATCCGCACTGAGTGCGGAAAAGTATTACTATACGCACGCAAATGAGTGCGGAAAAGTACTACTTTGCGCACGCTCAAAGGAAAAATATCTACCGTACAGGGTTCCATTCAATATTCTCGATCTAGGTGTAACCGGAAGTAATATTCAATCGTTTTTTTATGGAAAATATGGGTTTTAAGGAACTATATATCTTCGATGATATCTCGAAATGCGTAACACTTATTTGTATAATAGTATATCTAGGTAAATATATGTTCAAAATGTTCTTACCTATCTTCCCCTTTCAGATATACATCGGTGAACCAAACTCCCTCTATAATTATTACTATTATTATTGATTAACATACAGGGTGATTGAATATGTATTTCGCGCTTTCAAAACTCACTTAAAAGTGATTTTTCCTGATTTCAAAATTATATAATTTTCATACAATCCATGGAGTAATACTGGGTGAAACGAAGAATATTTTCGGTAATCTGGTTCCAGCTCAACCTGAGTTGAATCCATATTCAATCAACCTCTGTATGTACACTAATAATTTTTAAATCAATAATAATGTGTTTTTGTTTTCAAACTAGGATACGGAAATGGAGAAGTTCAAAGATCAAAATAATTGGACAGAGTTGGCTGCCACTGAAAATGATAATCGATTTGAGTTCGTTCATCTATCTGAAACTGATCCCGGAAATGATGGAAGGAGATGTTCAGCTTGCACAAAAAATATCAATATGAAGTATTCAGTATCTTGGGAATTCATGGATTTTTGTGACGTAAAATGTCTGTCGAAATACCAGAAATGCTTATCATCGAAATGCTCCAACTGCTCAGCAAACATTGAAGAAGCTGCGTACGGAAAATACTATCAACGATTAAGAAACTGCTTTATAATATTTTGCTCAAAGCATTGCATTCTAAAGTATAGATCATCTGTTCGAATCTGCTCATTCTGTGAAGTAGTCAAACCTGAAAACAATGCATTTGATTGGTTAATTAAGAAATTGGAACTGTCATCCATATCTGACGATCTTCCTTTTTGCTCATTGTCGTGCTACATAACATTTTTGGAATTGACGAAATGTCAGAAGTCCGAAACAACTCACAAAGGACCTTGTACAGTTTGTGGCAAAAATGAACCACTGGAAATCATCCTAAACTTAAAAGGAATGGAAACAATTTTCTGTGGGAAGAAATGTCTGATTGCTTACACAGTTTCCCATCTAAACTTGAGTACTGAAGAATGCTCAGTGTGTAGAAAATATTACAGTTCGAATGTACTTGACGAAAACAAGGTATTCCACAAAAACTCGAAGATGTATTTCTGTTCTAGTACTTGCCGGCATGTTTTTACTCTCCTGAATAATGAAGTGAAAACGTGTGACTGGTGTCAAATTGATTGTAATTATATTAGCATGGTGAAAAAATGTTCCCAAGAAGTCTTACCCACCGTTCAATTTTGTTCTGTAAGCTGTTTACAGAAGTATGAGAGTACTACTGCTACCTTGCGGAAGTGTAGTGTTAAATTGAATAAATTGTTATTGAATAAAGACGATATCTTTGCAAGTGAACCTTCCAGAGCTACATGTGGTAAGATGGGAGTTTTAATTAATAACGGTATTATAGATATGTCTACAGACACATTAACGAAAAAACCACAAAACCACCCTTCTTCAGGAATATTTATTCCAATTCCAGTGCCAATTTACATTCCCGTGCCCATGGTTATGTATTCCATTCCGACACCTTATCCATTACCATTTCCTATACCAATTCCTGTGCCTATTTTTTTGCCGATTCCGCGGAACACAATGAAAGGAGTTACAAAAGAGATTGAAAAATACAACAACAAGATGCTTATTGATCCATGTCAATCAGAAATCCTGCTGATGGCTGATGCATTAATTGAAAACGAGAAAACAAATAATTCTGATAGTGAATCTGAACCGATCGTTGATGTAGAGGAAATGAAAGAAACTGCCATTGTGAAAAATGACGTGGAAAATAATTTCGACTTCGAATGGGCTTTATCAGATGCACTTACTGATATTAAAATCATAGCCGAGGAAAATAGAGAGAAGTTACAAGGCAGAAAAAGAAAAAAAAGTACAGAAATCAATGAAGAGTGCAAGACAATCAAATATGAAGAAAATTCAATTGGAGTTAATGGTATTGATTATTCAAAGGATGAAAACTATATGCGTTTGGATTACAGTTTGGGGATAAATGCCTGGAAACAATGGGTTTCTAAACACAACACCATGCAATCTATGACATTCAAGTCTGAGATACTTAAAATGTCTCCGGAAGAATTCAGTGTAGCTCTATGCTATTTTGTTCAAGAGTTGAGGAAACCAAATGGCGACGAATACGCTCCCGATACCATTTATTATCTCTGTCTAGGCATCCAGTATTACTTAGATCAGAATAGCAGATATGATAATATTTTCAACGATCTGATATACGATAAGTTTACTGATTATTTGGATGCGTTAGCCATACAATTCTGCGCCCTTTACGATGACGAATCTCACTTTATTGTGACGAGAGTTGAGGAAGAGCATCTGTGGGAAACAAAACAACTCGGTTGTTACTCTCCACACGTGCTGTTAAATACTTTGATATACTTCAATACGAAATATTATTGCCGATCTAACGTTGACGAACATTTACAGCTGTCATTTTACCATATATTGAGAGGTGGTAAAACCTTAAAATCGACCATGCTGAGATATTATCCCTTAGCAAAGAACTCCAGGAAGAGAAGGGTTTATGAAATGTTTGAAAACAATGAAAACCCCTTGAGATGCCCCGTGAGATTGTATGAATATTATCTTTCTAAGTGTCCCGAGGGTGCTAAAAATAAGTACGATACAATGTATTTGATGCCAGAAAAACATTGTACATCGGAAAGTCCTGTGTGGTATTCATCAGAATCGTTGCCCAGAAGATATTTAGCCAAGATTGTTAATCGAGTTAAAATGGTTAAAGAAATCAATGTTGCCTTACTTAGTTTTGATAACTAACTTTGTTTATGATTCTTGTGTGTTTTCAATATATAAATTGAGATAAGCGATATGAAACTTTAATTTAATTAATTATGATCTTAGAAAAGCTTCTTCCAAGTCATATATAGGTTAATACCAATCTGGATAAGGACATATGACATTTGTGAGTTATTTACTCGTCATTAGCTATAGGTACTATCAAAAATTACATATAATGTTCTCTGAAAAAGTGGTATTGAAATTAACTCTCATACTAATTAAACGTCACTTTCTCCCACTTCGAGTATCATAGGAAGTGGAATTTGGATTCCTGTATATGATGTCAAAAATTATTTACTGCTCTGGGAGAGTTATATGCATTTTATTATCTTCTTCAAAAGAATAACAGATCAAGATCTCAATATGCTACAGCTCATCAGAGTGCGGCACACAAACTGAGAATCTTCACGAATATGATAACAGTTGGTCAGAAGGGCGTACTTGCATGACTTGGAATTTCAATTGTACTAGCGAGAACGCATGTATATATACTTCACAAATGCTAACATCATGGATATGTTCCGTAATGTAACCGTGGACAGTGGAAGTGGTCACGTTGGGCGTGGGCACCCGAATAATATATCGGAGATGTCCGAACGGCGAAAAGATGTATAACCACAGGCCACAGCAGGTGAGCTGTCACCTGCACCAATGGACTTGATAGATTGTCTTCATTGATGAGTTCGCTCAGAGCAAGTGATTTTGTCTCAGAAAAATAATTTAATAATGGTGAGTATTCATATAGACCTAGCATTATTCAGTGTTCACTCATAATTAGCGACCTCAAAATACTTATCGATTTGGTTAACACCAACAAGTGTCCTGATCACTAACAGCAGAAATATTGTTTTTCCTACTTAAGTACCTTATTTTCCTACCGTTGGTTTACATGTTCTTGTAACAATCAACTTTTTCAACTATCCAACAGGGTGGCATCACTGGTGGCACGAATAAACCATTTTCGAATAAATAAATTGTATTGTGAGGAAATTATATTTTTTTATGTGACGGGAAAAAAGTTTGGCATTTCATCTCTTTTGGCAGGTTATAAAATGTCACTTCATAAATTACCTTCTTCCCGTGGGAAAGAAGTGAGTACTTTTTTCCCGGATATCTATCACATATATATATATTCACTGTTGATGGCTTTTGTTGTGCTATAGTTCCGAAAAATGAGTCAATAATACCGTCTCCGAGAAAGGAGAGCGAGTCCTTTTATCTTCCATTCGACTTCCCGGTTACGTATATTACTAAAAAACCAATAAATTCGAAATTTTTTGAAATCAAATCACAGAATTAGACTGACAGAGTGACATCAGATATTGTATTACATATTCAAAAGAATGATAAAGATGCCTGCGACGCAGGTGTCCCCACTGTTAAAAACTTAAAATTCCACGTCGATAATTTTCAGATTTTAAAATAATGTAATATCTTCTCAATATGGATTCGGCCCTTCTTCTGTCTTAGAAAAAAATTGTGTATTATACACGGTAAAAATATTAGATTTTAGCTCACGGTTTTTTGTCTGCCTCCGATACGCGTCGGGAGACAACACAACCTGGAGCTAATATCTACAACTTCTTTCTCTTTATATAATGAATAACTATTTTCTTGTGATGGGAAAAAAGTTCGACATTTTATCTCTATGTTCACAGGTTCACAAAATGTTACTTTTTACAAATTACTTTTTTCCCAATAACACGTACCTACCGTCTCCGAGAAAGAACTGAAAGTCATTTTATCATCCATTCCACTTCGCGGTTACGAAAATTACTGAACAGACACTAAGTTCTCAATTTTTCAAAATCAAAACACAGAATTATTAGACCGACAGATATTTTTTGATAACTTCAAAAGAATCATAAAAAGATGCCTGATGCTAAAAGATGCCTGCAACGCAGGTGTAATTCCTGTTGAAGAATTCAAATTTCACGTCGATAATTTTCTGATTTCATTATAATCAATGTAATATCTTCTCAATATTGATTCGTCCTTTATCCTGTAACAGAAGAAAATAGTGCATTATACACGGTAAAAATATTAGATTTTGGCTCACGGTTTTATGTCTCCCTCCGCTACGCGTCACACAGAGAAAAACTTTAATAATTGTTATTAAACATTTAATAGTCACATTTAAATACTTGAATACTATATGGGACAGATATACACTATGGTAGTGGTAGATAAAATATTTCTCCTGAATTGGTATACCTGCAACAGACAATTGAGTATATAGTTCATTGATCGTTAATAAATAAATATATTTGAAATCAACACAGGATTATTAAAGTGTTGAATAACATTGATTAGACAGTTTAATTACCATTGGACATTAAATAATTCTCTTTGAAACATTTTGCTATATTATCTTAGAGACTTCTTCACCTGTTATAGGTTCATACTTCGATGATAGTTATTCAACAGTTTGATAAATTTCCAATACTATATAGTTGCCACAGGCACCGAACAGAAACGTTTCTGTTCGGTGCCACAGTAAAAAAGCATGCTGTTGCAGAAAAATAGGTGAATGTCCTCGGATCATAAATTACTCGTCTCTGGAACATAATTTAATTATCTCAGATGTGTAAATTAATTATTGATATATTGGGGATGTGCAATGTGCATACCTGAAAAAGGAGTCCAGAAACGATCATTTTGATTCCTGATTTTTAATGGCCTGGATATAGGAAAAATTAAAGATATTGTCTACGAGTATCAAGTGCACCCGTGAACAACATTAAAAAAATCATGAATCGGAATGATCATTTCTGGTCCACTTTTTTAGATGATGCAGACCCATATACATTTATTCCTGAAAAACAAAAGATGATAAATGCGAAAAATCAAATCATTAGGTATTATTTTTGATTAACTTTTCATCATTTATCAACATTACAGATTCGATTTTTTGAAAGCTGTTGCATATCGTTCAATTTGGATATGTGCTTATCATTGTTGAATATTTGGAGCAAGAAACATTTCATATTTTCAAGGAATCAGGAGGAGACAACACGACCTGGAGCTAAGATCTGATACTATATACTTTTTTCCCTTGTATATAACAAATAACTAGCATTTGATCAGATGTTCAAAATGCATTCCATCCAGTTCCAAAGAATAGTGTACAATCGATTTTGAAATTCCATTCAATCCTTATTGTCATTAATTATTGGGATGAATTATTGCGCAGAATGCAGATCCATTCCAAATTCCAAGAGATGTACATCTCTTCCAAAATGTTAGAATGTAACTTGAAAATCGATTATACTATTGCTTACAACAGGAATGTAATGCATTTTGAACATCTGATCAAATAAAATATCAAAGAAAAGACAAACTCTCAAAACTCGGTCGACCACACTTTATAAAAACATAGAAAATGTTTAGGTACATACCCTAATAACACAACTGGATCCAATGGACGTCCTATGAACATCCTCCTCTGGACATGCATAGGAAAATTCAGTTGTGTACTCTGGATGACGTATGGACATCCATAGGATATTGCGTTTCCAACTTTTTAGCTATCTGTCATGGACAACCATATATGGTAAATTTTATAGGATGTCTAAAATGTATGCATTCCTGTATAGGAATGAGATCTGGTCAATAAAATAGAATCTTTGTTTCTGGTTTTTTATACTTATTGTAGGTAAATGTGATTATATTTGTAGAATTCAAACACGCTTTCTGTTGTAAGTCTTCATATTCGGTCACTACTAAACAATAACTACCGCATTCCACATTAACCAGATCATTACCTGAAGTCCGATGATGAATCACATTCTTGCATACACACTAATCACACTATACAGACGTTGCCCGAGCTTCACCATGGGGGGATCTCAGTTATTATAAGAGATACGAGGTCGGTTAGATAGGGCAAAGTTGCACATTTTCATGCTGAACAGTGCTTTGGAAGGAACGCCAACAGTTTTGTTTAACAAACTGAATTTTGACAGTTCAATTGAATATGCGAACCAATTGTTGAATTCTTAAGCTTATCCACATAACGCAAGAAGGGTTGCCGATGCCGAATGTCTGTCAGATAGATGTTCCCTGACAAGGTAATTTCCAACAACGGAGACATACGTTGGCCAGCGCGCTCACCTGATCTCTCTTCGCTGGATTATTATTTATTGGGAACTATGAAAGATTTGATTTTCAAAACTGTACCGATCGATATTGGTGAGCTGAGAAGAACCATACTCACCAATTTCAGGACCAAGATAAGAAGACGGGACATCTCGCGAGCAATTCAAAATCTGAGGAAACGCGTAGAATTGTGTTGAGAGTTTGTTTTGTTTTGCGAAGAATAAACTTCTAGCTCATAACGTCGTCGTTCCTAATTCAAAACCATAGTTTCCAAGTAGATGAGCTAGACGAAAATGTGAACGTTCCAGATCCAAATTCGAATAAACTGTCGAAATTCAGCTTGTTAAACAAAACTGTTGGCGTTTTCTCCAAAGCACTCTTCGCAAAAATGTTTTTCCCAATTTTGATCAACAGGAAAGATTAGATCATAGCGTGTGATACATCATTGTATTTAGAAAAAAACGACTTAAAAAATGTGAAAATACAATATATGGCGCCCATAAGAAAAAACAAGGATGTGTGTTGTAACTTTGGCATCAAGAACGAAATGGAAAATACAATGACAGCTTCAGATTCCTTGTAAAAAAGTGCCTCAAGAATGTCCCAGTCAGAAAAGTCCAAGTCTTTTTGTTTCCGCTTAAAAAAATAAAAACGAAAATTATGAATTTTCGTTTTCTTTCAATAATTCAAAAACTAGAAACGACGCATCAAATTTTATTGCAGGTAAATGTTCAGCATGTATATGCGCAATAACTTTGCCCTAATTCAACCGACCTCGTATCTCTTATAATAACCCCATGGATGGAGCTCAAAAAACGGGCACCCTGTATACATCTCTTCCTTTTTATAAAATTTTATTTTTCAATGTATATCAGTTAATA